TTGAGCAACCAAAAACTTTCATAATGATGCACGTGTTCCACTAGGTAATCTTGAAACAGAAAGGATATTTAAACTTTAGAAAGCATATTTATTTCAAACATTCATTCTACATTTATATATATAAATTCATATAAATATAATAGTTTTATAAAAAACAATTAAAAACACTATAAAAAAGTAAAACTTAATAGTATTCTCTTAAAAAAAATTATATTTTAAATCATAATTTTGACTTAAATAATGTTAAAAAATGTTAATATAAGGAAATCGTAGGAATTATTTATTACAAAAATGTTTTTATGAGAAACTAATTTTCCTCTTTTTTTCTATATGGGAATCGATTTGCAGTTTCATTAATGTCAATCAGGTATATTATTGTAAGGATTACAGAGCTTGTTAGAGAAATTTTTATAAGTACTGCAAGGTAGGTTTACCTTATAGTGCAATATTTCCATTAGGAGATAACAAAAGAGTTTTATTTACTTTTTATATTCACCCTAATAAAGTAGAAGAAATATTTTCTACATATTTAAACATGATTGATACTGTCTTTGGTAATACCATTTTAAGAGCATCACAAAGAATTCTTGGAAATGCCAATAGTGATACAGAAGAATTTTGTTCAGATGACTTTAAAGTAAGACTGGTTATTCAATTGAATATAAAGTTAAAAGAAAGACTTGGTTTAGAATTATAATTTTAGATTTGCAAACATTAATATTCACATTAGAGATTTATATTATGAATCAGTACAAAAACTACATTATTTAGTTCACAATGTTCTTTTATCAAAAAAACGTTAAAAAAAACTCAATTTACTCATCAAACAACAATTTAATTTTAATTATGCCACGTGATTGCAATTTAGTCATCTATTTTAAAAATGAACCTAAATGGTTTACTAAAACCAATGCTAATGGAGCATTTGGCAACTCATTTTACAAAGTGATAGAAATTTAGTTATATATAATGATTTTCAAAGCATTTGGAATAGTGACACATATGGATGTTTAATACCATCTTTTTTGTCTCTTCAAAATTATGCAAGTTAGTGCTTTAATAATATTCCAGTATCAACAAGAGATCAAATTACTACTTCATGGCTTTAAATTCAGTAAATTGTGAGAGAAAGTAGTGTTATTTATAGTTTGGCCCATACATAACTTAATTTGGAAAGGATTTCAAAGTATTTGGAATATTGCAGAGTAGTTGGATGTTTAATACTAACATAGACGTCTAACAAGGATGGTAATGCTTGTATTTAAAAGCATTTACCAAGATTAAAGATCAATAAACCACTAATACTATATTAAACTACAAAAAAGTAATATAAAGCATCCATTACTACAACATTATTAGAAACAATTGATTGAATTTTTAAGATATTAATTTATTAAAATTCAAATATTCCATCTAGATGCTGGTTGTCTTTGGCATGAAAGCATTGGAAAATAACATCATTCTTACCAATCTAGTTTTTTCTGGAGCGGTTTCAGATTCCAGAACGAGCACCCACTCATTCATAACGATACATTCCAGTCCAGTGCATGATCCTCGGCTTGCAGCTATGGTGGAGGCACGTTACTTGCCTGGTCGCTCTGGCAGCTTACTTGTAAACCAGCAGCCTCTCGGCCTAGCAGAGCAAACGCACCAAGTTGTGGTGTGTGAGAATCTCCATCATGAGCTTATCAGCGTAGCCAAGAGCTCGAGCCTCTTGATCGCGACCATGGAAACATGTGTTTCGAGGTCGCTTGTTTCTCTTGCAAGGTAATTTCACAGCTTGATAGCTCACGTCCAGTTCCCGCTCACTCCTTTTTGCAAGCCAACAAAACATGGATTAATCACAACAAGCACTTTTTTGGAAGAGAAGAAAATACGCACCTGTTTTTCTCCATGACCTACACTTGCACTTGAAGCGCATTGTGGAGGCTTCCCATGTTCATGGGAAAAAGATGGATCCCGACCACACAGCCGACTCCGACTTGCGAGGGAGGGGCAATTAGAAATAAAAACCATGAGCCAAGGCGTATATTAGATGGTATACATCCATGCATTTTATGCCATGCATGCGCTGGACACATCATGACCTGGTCTACTGGATTGTTTACATTTGACATTCCATATTCTCAATCAACTTGAGGCCAAATTTGTTGACGCACGAACGCGCAAATTTGATAACCCACGAACGCGCAAACGTGTTGCCTCATTCGAATTCGCATGTAAGTCTGGCATTAGCAAACATGTTGCATGGCGTAGTGATCTCTATCTGATATGCTTGTTATACAATATGCTCGTGTTGATGAAACACAGGACTTGCAGTCATGGCCAATGTTGATCCCACGGGTGTGTTGAGTGCGCTTGTTTCTGCAGCTGTCAACGAAGTGATTGGGCTCTCCAAGTCTGGCATTCATTGCAAGGAGAAGTGCAGCGATTTGGAGGATTCTTTGACCGAAGCATCAGCTCTGCTGGGTGAACTGAACAGGTATTCGGGCTCTTTGAGCTCCTCACATTTGAATACCTGGCTAAAAGCCCTCAAAACCAAGGTTGAAGAGGCTAAATCTCTTGTTCTTGAGTGCCAGTCCCTACAAAATCCCATTCTAGATTTCCCAAAGAGGTCGGTTGTGCTTCTCTTGAAATACTCTTGGCTGAGTTGTGACTTGTTGCAGGATAACACTTGCTACCAAGATTGACCAGTGCTCCAAGGCGATTCACGGGCACTTGGCTGCAGCTTCTCGGCATCTTGGCGTTGAGCTTCTGCAGAGAGTTGCATTGAAGAAGCAAAAGGAGGTGCCCTCTAATGTGGTTCCAAAGGAAGAACAGCATGTTGTTCCTCTGGATGAGCACATTTTTGGTATGGAAGAGATGCTGGAGCGGGTTGTATCAGACTTGCTGGGGTCCCCTGTAAGCAGCAAGTGGGTTGGAGTTCATGGAGTAGGAGGTGCTGGAAAAACACTCTTGGCCAAACGAGTATGTGAAAACCACCAAGTCAAGGAGCATTTCGATCCAGTTTTGTGGCTAACATTCGGTCAGACATGTCAGGTAACTCCTTAAGCTTATCATAGCTTCAAGCAATACATATATTGCTATGGTTGCATCTCCTCAGGTGGAAGCAAAACAAGCCGAACTTGCCAATCAAATCAGACTAGAAAGTCGGATTAGCAATGAAACACTGAGGAGGGGGCTTGCAGGAAAGAGGTGCTTGATGGTGTTGGATGATGTCTGGACATCTGGCGATCTTTTGGATCTGTTTGATGTGGTGCAAGAGAATGGAAGCAAGATCTTCATTACCACTCGAAAACTTGATGTGCTTGACAGCAGAGGTGCAATTAAAACCAAAATGGGGCTTTTGGGAAAGGAAGACAGTTTGAAATTGTTCACAGTCCATGCGTACCCAAACCAAAAATATGCTCAGAATCAAGTCAAGAAGATAGTAATGGAGCAAGTTGTGGAGAAGTGTGGGGGGCTTCCACTGGTGTTGAAGGTAATTGGCAGAAGAATGGCAGGCAAACAAGATTGGGACTTTGTTTTGGGAAAACTCAATGATCAACAACTTGCTACTCTTGATGAGGAACAACAGGTATTGCAGCGACTTAAGCTGGGGTATGATGCATTGTTACCTCTTGGCATCCAGCAGCACTTTCTCTTCTTTGCTGCATTTCCAGAAGACAGGCAAATTGGATTCTGGGATCTATTCAAGTGTTGGAAAGGGGAAGGGCTGGTTGCCAACGCAGCAGAGGCCGTGAATGTTTTAGAAAGGCTCAAGAATCACGCACTTATCACTGACGAAGAAGACTCTCCAGGTGGACGGTGGCTGGGGGATAAGAGGTACAGGATTCACGATGCGTTATTGGCTCTTGCTTTGCACATATTGGAACAAGAAGGCCCCAAGTGTTACTTCAAGGTTGGCTGCTCGAATGCTTGGGATGGCTTCACAAGTAACTACAGCAAGATTTCACTGGTAGGGTGTCGTCTACCTATAGGGAAGAACAGGGTCACAGTTTCAAGCACCACTTGCATGCTCCTGGATCAAAATTATTTCCATCTTACTTCATTGCCAAGCCTCTCTCTTTTCAAAAGCTTGAAGGTTTTGTGCTTGAGTCGCAGTGGAGTGGTAACCCTACCACATAGCATTGGAAAGCTCAAGAATTTACAGACTCTAGACTTGTCTTGGAATACATCACTCCAAAGCATTCCAGATTCGCTGGGAAAGTTGACCAACTTGTCATATCTGGACTTGGGGAATTGTCGGACACTCGAGACTTTCCCCGTGGATGCTTTGCTCAAACTCACCAACCTGGTCTATATAAATGGAGAGAACAACTTTGCAATGTGGACTTGCCACAGGTTGCATCATCGACTTTTCAAACATAAGAAATGCTTAAACAGGAGGTTTGGTCTCCATCTAGATGGAATGTTTCAGGCATTGACAAAGTTGGAAGTGTTGATTATTCATACAATGTTAGCTGTGGAGCTACCTGCAAGCATAGGCGAACTGTCCAATTTAAAAGAGCTGGAAATAAGGGGTCAGACGAGGGTAACATATGACAGCTTTCAATGCTTGACCAACCTTGAAAGTGTGAAACTGCAGGAATTGGATCTTCCATTGTCAGACTGGGATTGGAGCAGATTTCCAAGGTTGAGAACTTTGGAAGTGGGAGGCTTAAATGGGGAATGTGAGTTTAAAGTAACCTCCAGCATGGAGAACTTGCAAACCTTGGTTATAGGTTGGAATCACCACCTTGAGTGCCTTCCTTTCTTAACACAGGAAATGCTTCCCATGCTGACAAGCCTCTCCCTTTCGAATTGTGAAAATTTGACTGAGGTGCTTACCATTTCTCAATTGGCATCACTAAAGGACCTCAGCATCTGGATGTGTCCATCCTTGAAGGACTTGCCTATCTCGTTCCTTCCAAATCTAGATACACTTTATCTAAGTTCTTGCGACAAAGTGACCACACTCAACATATCCGAGTGCCCATCACTGAGACGTGTTAAAATCGATAGCTTCGGCATGCTTGCCTGTGTTGCATTTGGTGGCAAGTTCCCACGACTTCAAGAAATATTCCTCGAAGGATTTGAAAATCTCCCACATGTCTCTCTAGGTGCCATGGATGCGTTCCCACAGCTGACACGGTTGGAAATAGAGAGCTGTGGTATTCACCAGCTACCAGAATGGTACACTTCATTCACAAAGTTGAGAGCTCTGAATTTAAGGCATCTGGAAAATTTGGATGTGATACCTGATGGTGTTGCAAGGCTTCCTTTGCTAAGAGAGCTTGATCTGATGGGTTGCAGGAAGATCAGCATGTTACCCTCTGCAGATTCTGAGGACAGCTCCTTTTATCCATCCTTGGAGTACTTAACCTTGACTGGCACGTCTGTCTCTCAGGAGCACCTCTCGCAACGCCTTCTAAAAGTTGTACGAAATGGACAGAAGTTACCAGATAATATCGATGACTTTGCTTGAAGTTTATGAAAGTTGACAGTGTGTCATCTATGGTGTAGAGGGCGATCCAAAGAGTCTGGAAATCCAGCGATCATGACATATGGAACACATTCCCCAGGCCGTAGCTGTGATGCTTTCTCCGCCGCCAAGGCACCTAGGCCGGGATCGTTGTGAATCTTGCACGCATTCAGCAGTGCAATCCACATAGAATCGATGGGCAAGCACGGCATCCTCTCAGCCAAATCTTCGATTTCCTGGAGCAATCCCGCGCGGCCGAGCATGTCCGCAACGCAACTATAGTGCATGGGCGATGGAGTGAGAGAGTGATCCACCGCCATAGCCGCAAAGTAGTCCAGGCCCAACCGGATCAGCCCACCATGGCTACACGCGCTCAGCAGCGTCGTGAACATCGCCCCATCCGGTTCTATGCGTCCTTCCAGTTCCAAGGTCCGGAACAGGTGGACTGCCTCAAGTGGGTATCCATTCCTCGAGTATGCCTCCATGAGAACCGTGCATGGCTCTAAGTGTCTCTCAGGGAGATTCTCTAGCACGGCTCTTGCTCTGGAAAGATTCCCCGCTTTTCCATAGCCTTCGATCACGGCCGTTGCCGAGAGTGAATCGTAGCGTGGCAGTTTTGCCAGCATTGCCTGGGCTACTGACGGATGCCCGCTTTGGGCATATGCCTGGAGGAGGATTGTCCACGAGACAATGTCTCTGGCGTGCATTCCATCGAAGATGTGTTTTAGCTCGTGAAGATTTTGGGTCTGTGATTTTGAGCAAGCTGTGACGATGGCGTTGCATGAGACGAGATCGTGCTGCGGCATTTTGTCGAATACAATGCGTGCGTTTTTATAATCCCCTCCCTGGTCATACGCTGTTAGTAACGCCGTCATGGAGATTATGGATCGCTCTCTCATCTTTTCAAACACGAACTTTGCCTGTGTGGCCATGGCGGCTTGGCTGTAGGCGTGGAGCAGTGGATTCATCGCCGAAGAGCCCAGCATTGGCATTTTGTCTAGAATTTCTGACGCTGTTTCTAAATGCCCATTAAAGGCATTTGCAGAAACCAGAGCATTCCAAGCCACGGAGTCCTTCGTTTGCATACCGTCAAAAACTTTTATTGCGGATTCCAAATATTGTCTATCGGAAAACGCTTTGATAAGAATCGTTCCTGAAAATACGTCTGGAACCAACATCTTGTCGTAGAGTTCCTTTGCTTCCTGCAAATGCCCTATTCTGGCATATGCATTGAGCATGACACTCCAGGTAAAGGATGGTTTTTGCGTCAGAGAATCAAACACCTCCCTCGCCAAGTTGACATTCCCGTTGTGGGCATACGCACTGAGCAGCGCCAGCCGCGAAGAATCATCCCGCGGCTCGTCAATTCCCTCATAAACAATCTCCGCCTCACGCAAGCTCCCGACTCTCCCATACATTTGCACCAGCAAATTCGCGAGAAATCGGTTGCCCCTGTGCCCTGCCGCGACGATCTCGCGGTGAATCCCTCGCACTTGCGACAAATCCCGGCACTGGCGCAGTCGCTCAACGCAGGATTCGAAATTAAAACCCCGCGAAGAAGAAGAAGAAGAAGAAGCTAGCTTTGATTTGATCCACTCTGCGCGAACCCTCCTCATGCGCCAGGCATCTTTCCCCTGCCCGGAAAAATCCCTCTCTGGAGCTCACGAGAATCGAACGCGCGCGTGTGGCGAGTCCCCATTCGCGGTACAGTCGGCCAAATGGTACTACCGATATTCGCGCAATTTGCTCACTCTCTCTCTCTCGCATTGCTCGCTCGCTCGATCGGCGCGCACTCATACAATTACGCTGGCTGGTCGATCCGATCGGTGTCAGAAATTAGGAGCGATCGAGCCACGAGCGCTATAAAACCCCAGCGTTTGCTTCCTTCTTTCCATCGCTCACTGGGATTCGCGTTCGCCCCTTTCTTCCTCCTCTTCCTCGTCCATGGCGATCAAGTTCGCGCTCGTGTTCTTCTTCCTCGTCGCCGCGATCGTGCTCGCCGATCGCGCCAGTGGCGCCTGCGATGCCACCAACAACATGGGCAAGCTTCTTCCCTGCCGCCAAGCTGCTGTCAAGAACGGGAAGGATCCCAAGCAGCTCGCGGGGTGCTGCGATGCCGTGAAGCCCTTCAGCGGCAGCAAGGACGCCGCGGATTGCCTGTGCCAGAGCCTCCTCGCCGCGCAGAAGGTGGACAAGACTGTGGATCTTCACTCGGCGATCGCGATTCCAGCCAAGTGTGGCATCCCCGTCCAGGCCAATCTCAAATGCAACGGTAAATCCATGCGATTCTTCTCGAGCTGGGTGTTTGTTTGATCGTTCTTGTGATTGTCTTGCAGGAATGGCGGTTCCACAGCACTGAAAATGGATCAAATCGATGCGCCCAGTGATGCGCAGCGCTTGTCTTAGCTTGTGCTTAGTTGTGATCTATGTAGCTGCCGCACCCAATGTGGTGGGCTGGTTCTATAACGCCTTCTGCGTGATGCGCGTTCTCTGAATCAATCAATCAATCTCTTCTTCTTCCAAGACTCTCGAGCGATCAATCCTCAAGAGCCCTAGAAACAGGGGAATGACCCAATGTGCTCTTTTTCTCATCTTCGTGAGCACCCAAATTTCAGTCCCCAGCCCCGGCGCCATCGCCAGGAGGAAACAGCGCCAGGAGCAGGATTTCTTTGCGGATCTCCTCCGGTCCTGCACTGGAATCGACGATCTCGACCGCGGCAAGCAGATCCACGCTCGAATTCTCGGCACCCAGCACGGCAGCAACAGATTTCTCGCCAACACGCTGGTCGAGATGTATGGGAAATGCGGCAGCATGGAGGACGCGAAGATGGTCTTCCATGGGATTGAAGACCCCAATTTGTTCTCGTGGAGCATTCTCCTTGTGGGATATGCCCAGAATGGGTATCTGGAAGATGCGGAGAAAATATTCGCTGCCATGCCCGAGAGAAATGTTGTGGCGTGGACGGCGATGCTGGCAATGCATGCCCAGGCGGCCAATCTCGAGGAGGCTAAAAGACTATTCGACGCCATGCCCGAGCAAAACGATGTGTCCAAGAACACGATGCTTGCAGCGTATGCGCAGAATGGGCATCTGGAAAAGGCGAGACTACTCTTTGACGGCATGGGCGATCGAAACGTAGTCTCCTGGACGATTATGGTCAGCGCCTACGGGCAGAATGGGCTAGTCAATGAGGCGAGGACTCTATTTGACCGAATGCCTACGCGCGGTGTGGTTGCATGGAACGCTCTCCTTACAGCAAATGCCAGGCTTGGGCATCTTGAGGAAGCAAAGAAGCTTTTTGATTTAATGCCCGAGTGGAATGTGATCTCCTGGACGGCCATGGTTGAGGCGTTTGCTCGCGATGGCTACCTCAAGCAGGCTAGGCAGGTGTTTGATCGTATGAAAGAGCGAAATCTCGTTTCCTGGACCGCGATCTTGAGCGGCTATGCGCAGAGTGGAATGATTGAAGAAACGAAATGCTTCTTTGACAGGAGTCCCGAGCAAAACATCTTCACCTGGAATTCACTGCTAGCCGCATTTGCGCTCCACGGCTTTCTCGTCGAGGCACAGCAATTTTTCGATCTCAAAATGGTGGAGCATGATCTGGTTTCCTGGAACACCATGATCACTGGCTATGCTCAAGCAGGGTATATGCAAGAAGCGGTATCTCTCTTCAACCGGATGCCGTCCAAAGACGCAGTGACATGGACGGCTATGATTACCGGGCATGCGCAGCTTATGCAGCACCACGAAGCCCAAAGAGTCTTTCGACTAATGCCCGAGAGAGACGTTCTCTCGTGGTCTGCAATGGTAGGAGTGAATGCCCAGAACGGGCATTTGGAAGAATCGCGGAGAATTTTCGATGAAATGCCCTTCCGGGACGTTGTTTGCTGGAACTCGATGATCTCGTCGTACGCGGGGTCGGGCCGTGGAGAGGAATCGCTCGAGGTTTTCCATTTGATGGATCTGGATGGCACGAAACCCGATCACGTAACGTTCTCCAGCATCCTCACCGCGTGTAGCCATCTCGGACTCTTAAACTCCGGGTGGCGGATGTTCGTGGTCTTGGCGGTGGATCACGGCGTCCCGCCGCGGCAGGAGCACTACGCGAGCATGATCGATATCTTGGCCCGGCTGGGAAAGCTGGGCGAGGCGGAGGAGCTCGTCAAGAGCATGCCTTTCGTGCCAGATCTCCAAGAGTGGGCGACTTTGCTTGGAGCTTCCAGAGTCCATCGCAACAAGAAACTGGGGATGGAGGCGGCCAAGTCGGCGATCCATCTCGGCACCAAAACCTCGTCCACGTTTGTGCTCCTGTCGGATATGTACAAGGAAGATCGATCGCTGCGAAGACTAGCAACTTAGAGGATAGTTTATATCGGACGATCTTTTCTTTCCAACATTCTGGGAGCTGAGATCGCAGCTTGCGATCTAGTTGGCGATCCATTCGATCGGGTACTTTTGTGGGCCGGAACCAGGGAGCGTGGACCAATTCACGGGCACCCAAAACTCGAGCGTCCTCACGAGCACATTCCACTGCCGCCACACCGTCTCCTCGTCAAGAACAACCCACTTGTTGGAGGAGTCGAGCGCCTCCTCCTCCGCCACATCGCCGCTGGACACCCGCTGGAGCACCGCCAGCTTCACTTGCTGCGTCCGGATCTTCACATCGCGCACGACCGCGTGGGTGAATTCGCCGGTGCCGCTGCCGCGCACGATGACGATGTCTCCCTTGAGCGGCCATGGTGGGATGCACGGCACATTGCGCGCCTTGAGCACCGTCCTCGCGGAGCCGACGATGGAGCCAAGCCCGCCTTTCACGCCCCACGACGGAATATCTTTGTCTGCAAACAGCACATTCCGTCAGTAGCATATACCGTTACCCCACGAGAATATGCCAGATTTCTGGCGGGATTTTTCAAAATCGTGTTCTTACCGGAGATTCTAGGGCCGCCCATGAGCTCGGAGGCGCTGCGCTCGTCCGCTAGGGCTTCAGCGAAGGCGACGAGCTTGTCCTTGACGCGCGTCGTAGCGCAGGATGGCTGGACGTTCAATTTGCTGAGCTGCGGCACTCGCGGCTCCACCAGGCCGTCGAGCATCTGGACGACGCGCCCCATGGTAGGCCGCTGCGTCGGATCTTCCTGGATGCAGCACAGCGCCACACGGATCGAGCGCTTGGCTTGATCCTCGTAGAAATATTCCACCTCCTCGTGGAGCTGCTCGTCGATGAGCTCCATCGGCCGCCCCTCCTCGACCATTCTCACGGCCCACGCCGGTAAGTACCACTGCTCTGATCCCTTAGAGAGGTCGATCGTTTCGCGGCCACAGATTAGCTCCAGGAGGACCATTCCAAAGCTGTAGACATCGGCCTTGGCCGTGACTGCTGTTCCGTGCAGCCATTCTGGAGCTAGATACCCAGGTGTTCCTCTCATGTTTGTGACCACCCGGCTCTTATCTCGATCCATGAGCTTCGCTAGCCCAAAGTCCGAGACCTGCCACCATTTCCATCTTAGTTCCTTCTATCTTTCTATACCTTCTAGCGAGTGTTTTTGTTACCTTTGGCAGGAAGTTCTGGTCGAGAAGAATGTTCTCGGGCTTCACGTCCAAGTGAATGATTTTTTGGCTGCATTCTTCATGGAGGTAAGCAAGTCCTCGGGCCGTGCCAAGCGCAATGCTGTATCTCCGTGACCAGTCAAGCATGCAATCCTTTCCTGCTCAATGGTTTTTTATGGTAAGCTCGCTCTCTTTCTCTCTTGTAATGACCAGGAAAACTTACCAGGTGTTATGAACAGCCACTTGTCAAGGGAGCTGTTTGGCATGAAGTCATAGATGAGTATTCTCCGCGGCCCTTGCGCGCAGTATCCTCTCAGTCGGATGAGATTCAGGTGACGAACCGTTGCCATCACACTCACCTCTGCCTTGAATTCTTTCTCACCTTGTGTTGACGTTCTTTCCAGCATCTTGACGGCTACTTTGCTCCCGTCCTTGAGTGTTCCTTCGTACACCAGCCCAAAGCCACCGTCTCCTAGCTTGACACTGAAGTTGTTTGTGATCTTGCGGACTTGCTTGAACGAGAACTTCGCGGGACCGGCTTGTGGTACAATGTCTTTGATTGATGCTGAAGATTCCGTCTTGACCGGTGTTGGTTTCTTACGCAGCTTTTTTTGAATGCAGATTCCACCGCACAATGCCAATGCTGTAGCACTAAGAAGCACCGTTATTGATATCACAGCTTTCCGCTGCAACACAAACAAGTAAGTATTGAGCTTTTGTCTTTGATAGTATACCTTGCGCTGATTTGGCTCTTGTTTTTGTGTTGAAACAGCCTGTGTTGGTGGTAATGCTGTCTCCTTCACGCCAGAGGAAGGTTGAGAACACATCACTAAGTTCAAACTTTGGAAAATTACCTTCTTTTCTGCCAGGCGTTCTTGCTCGGGCTGCTCAGATATGGAAAGCAACGTTCGTCCAGCCTCCGACGAAGAAGTTGAAATAGGCCTTTTACCGCGGGTCTTTTGGGCAAGAAACATAAGGTACTTCATCCCAAGTAGCTTCCGAGATTTCCACTTGCTATACAAAGAAATTTACCTTTTCAGCTGAATGGAAGATAAAAGAATGCCAACAACTTACTCGGGTTTCGGGCACTGGACATCTATGTGCACAGCCCCGTAGCAACTGAGTCGCAGACCGGCAGCTTTATAGCCATCTGAGAGGACAATGGGATCTATGCTTTTGACAGAGTAGTTCAGAAGATCCTCAGAAATGGTTCTGGTAACGATGTTAGCATCTTGGGAGAGATGAAGGCCTTTTTCGGTAAATTCTGCGTACGTTGGTCGCTTACAGGTGTATAAGACGTCCCTTCACAAACAACCAGCACAAGAATTGGAATTTGGAAGAGCTGGGAAGCAAGCTCCTTACGTGAGATCACCAACGTTGTAGAAGCTCCAAAACCACTTGACGGAACTTCCAGAATACAGAACCAGACCGCCAACTTCCATTTTCAACGTATATATCCCGTTTATCTGCTTTTGAACATCAGTTTTTGTGAAGGCGAAGATCAACGTACCAATTTCATGCCGGGACTAAGAATCTGTCCAGGGAGCATCGTATCAACGGGAAACTTGAAACTTTCCCACACTGGCTGCTGTGCTGAGTTATACAGACCTAAGTTACCGGTGTCCAGGAGATTCATGCTCAAGATCTCCATGCTCGAGGTGAGTGTTTCCCATACATTGCTGGCATCACTGTGGGATAAAACCAGGTTCCCATTCTCTTCAAACTGCAGCACCGTATTTTCCTTGAGCATACAAGGAGTCCCTGCTTCGGTCTTCGCGGACCACACTCTTTGAATGACGCTCTCATTTTCAATAGGATAAGACAAGTCATAAATCGAGAGAGTGAAGATGCCAGACGATTCGCTGAAGAAACCGAAGAGGTATCTGCATTGTGATCCTTTTTGTGAGGCACGTCGGGATCATAAAAGACTTACCTCGCGTTGGGTGACTGCAGGATAACACGGGCAGAAATGCCTCTCTTTTTGCTGATAACAGCAAGCTGTCCACCGTTTTCCCATGAGATCGTCTTATGCGCAAGCAGAGAAATGAAGCTTGGAGTGTCCGCACTGTACGTTGCCTCTGATTTATGAGACGAGAAGCAGTATTCAAGAAGGGCACTAGCCATTAAGAGCAGCAAGAGAAAAGAGCAGCTGTGACGAACTATGACGAGCTTTCTGGTGTTTGGGGAGTATATCATCTATGGCGATCGATTCGTAAGCAGCGGCATTGCAAGCGTTTCGCTCATGAGGACAGCTGAGATACCGCTTTAAGGCAGCTGGAGTTTATCTCACAGCAACAAGCGCCGGTTCCTATCCTCTGTCACTTCAGGGGCTACATCTCAAAATAATCTTCTGGCCGTGCTCCTGCCAAGTGATACTGGCCCATCCTTTTCAACCTTCACATGGATATATCGCGTATACAAGCATATATGCTCCTGACGAGACTCACTACGGACAACGTAAAATATGGAAGTCCTGTTGGTCCAGAAGCAAGCTGTTTTCTTACCATCGGAAGCAACGTTAATGTGTTATAGAAGATTCCAAACTGGTTCAGGTCAGTTTCTTAGCTCAACTTTGTTTTTCTTTTTTTTTCTTGGTATTCTTGCTGATCTTGTCTTCTAACTCATTTTCAGCATGGGCTACTAGCTAATGAGACAATGCTTGACCACGTGATAGAGTCAGGCCTAGCAAATGCTCAGAAAAGTCGAATAAAGGTACAACTTGGTTGTTTTACGAGTTTTCTTCGTCCGTGATCGTATCTTCCCTGTGAAAGTTATGCCTTCAGCAGGCACGCATGGGTCTTTTGTAGTTTTTCTCTTGGCTCAACGCTCAAACGTTCCATGTTACGAGGAAACAGGAGCGAGCGTCTTTCACTTTCGTGCCTTATCATTACGCTGCCAGCGGTGCTTCTCGTGAGCTTTTTATAGTCTTTTCATTCTCTCTCGCTGTTACTTAACGAAGATGTTGCAGGCTCGCGCTTGTGGCAGCGATGCTGGAAAGCATCACATAAGCTGCCGCTGCTTTTCTTGGATCCATGCTTACAATACCATCAGCAACATCTCCACCCGGTAAGCTTTCATCTCCCACAGCTTTCGAGGCGCCGAGTATTGTATTCCAGGCAACGCTGTCGGGATTGTAAGGCATGCTATTGACCAGCTCCCGGGCCTCCTCCAGCCTCCCCGCTCGTCCCAGAATGTCGACCATGCAACAAAAGTGCTGGAAAGTCGGGACCATCCCGTGCTCCGCTCTCATCGCAACGAAGAACGCTCGTCCATCTTCGACAAACCCGGCATGGCTGCACGAAACCAAGGCTGCCACAAACGTCACCTCGTTCGCGGCAACGCCAGTCACAGCCATGAGACGCTGGAGCTCGGTCACGTCCTCCCGGAGCCCGTTGCAAGAGAAGGCCCCCACCAGCGCATTCCAGGAGGTGACATCGCTTTGATCCATGGCATCGAAGACGAGCTTCACTTGGTCGAGATGCCCATTCTGGGCATACGCGGAGAGCATCACGGCCTGCAAAGTGGCATCCTTCTCCGGGGCCGAGTTAAAAGTTTCCATGGCTTCACGCAGATCACCATTCCTCGCAGCCAAGGCCAAGATCAGCGTCCATGCCAGGACATTCCGGCTGGGAATTCTTCGAAACAAAGCTCTGGCTTGATCGCCATCTCCATTCTGGACGTGCGCTTCCATCAGAGCCGTCCATGAGACCACGTCCTTCTGCGGCATGGAGTCAAAGAAGGCCTTGGCCCGGTCAACGCGACCGCTGCCGGCCATCGCAGTCAGCACCACTGTTGACGACTCGACGGTCAAC